CAAAAATTTTATGGACTTACAGTTGCCAAGCAGTTATGATGGAAGCATCAATTGTTTGTTTCTCAGCAATCGAAAATATTCTTCACATGTAACCGAAAAATCATATGTCCCGACTTCCAAAATCCCAGAATCGGATACAATGTTAACCACTTGGTTGGTCTTCAAGCAATCACGAAGATATTCAATCGGCCTCGCCTTGCTGGATGTTTGGTTGGGTATATTCTTTTTTGTACCAGCCCTTGAAATTGTTGGCACCAAACTTGTGGTTGGGATTTGTTTCTTCTCTCTTTGTTCCTACATTTTAATTCATTTAACTATCAAATACAATTATAATTTGTTGTTTATATATTAGCTTAAAAAGTAAATGGTAATGCATATGTACCTTTGCAGGAATAATTGCAATCCGGGGCCATTGAATTACAGTGCCAACCGCCCCTTGTAGGTTAGCAACTTCTTTTGTCATCACAGGAACAGGAAAATTTTCATATCTACTATCGATGTCGTCTATCAGAACCTTCAGGTGATTTTCTCGTAAAGGCAATGTGTGTATTAACCCATTCCCATATGGAAAGACCAATCCCTTGGCACATTTTTGGTCCAACTCCCCATAGGGTAACACCAATTCACAAGGGGTAGGCATCTGTACACATAGTAAAACAATAATAAAAATAAAAGCTCTCTGAAGGATAATAAATAAATAAAATGCATAATAATGTAATAACTATATTTGAATTTTTAACCATTTTAAGTATATCTATTATAGTTCAAAACCTTCTAACAAAACATTTTAATTAAAAAACTAGAGTCTTTTGTCTAAAACACAATTCTTACAATGTTGCATTTTCTATCACAAATATTATATTAAAATAATTTATGCAATTATAAGAATATACAAAGAAATACAGTACCACTTCTGATGATATGGAATCAAAAAATATTTAACATCCAAGAAAAAAAATTAGTTAAATCAGTTAAACAAGTATATTATCACTAAAAAAACAATTAGATAAACATTAGTATTCAGTTTTGTTGCTCATCCTTAGTCCTAAGCATAATTTCTCTACAAATAGGTTAACAGGTTTAGTTTTTATTGTTTCTAGATGTTACCGGAAATCAAATACACTCAATTACCTGTATCGCATCCAAAGCATCTAATGTTGGAGTCGAGCCACAATTATTTTGTTGAACCCCTAAGCTTACATCATCTGGGGCATGGTTCCTAGACCCCTGTAGTAAGTCAAAGTGTGCTTGTAGCTTTGCCAATTGGGAGCCCATCAGATCTATCGTTGTCTGCAGTTTAACAATAGTTTCATTTTCATGTTTTTTCCTCTTTTTTTTATCAGTCCCTTGCATCCCTTTTCTCAATCCAACATCATGACCAACAGCCCTGGTACGGCCCGGGTTCTCCGGTCCTATTACCTTTGTCAACAAGTCCTCTCCTGGATTGAGCTCCAAATCTCCTTCAGAGATTTGAGTCTGGACATCAACCTGTTAACAAAATCAGCAAACCAGTAAGAGTAATTACATGAATACAAATGAATAAACGTATTTACTTACAAGCTTGTCTACTATGGGTTGTATGGTAGGCGGTATTATGTTCAACCCCAACTCATTTTTAGATCTTCTACCCAAAACATAATGCAGTGAACGCTCGCTTTTTATCTGATACAATTGAGGTGTCAATTGACCAGATGCCATCTCTTGTTCCCACTCAGCTTTCTTGCCCCTGTAACCAAGTGGTCCTACACGAGCAGGATTCTTATTATGCATTGAACTCGCCCTCGCTTTCTCACTTATCTCCTGCAAATGAAATTAATTAACACAGTTAAAAAAATGAAACACAATAAGTAATATAATTACGTGCAATTAAAGTCCAACACACTTGGAACTCCTCTGATGATATTCTCTGTCTAAAGCTCTGCAATGTGCTTCTTTCCAAATATGAGTAGGTCTCAAGTGGATCTCTTTGGTTATCACATTTCTTTTTAAGCCTTTTCTTGAAGGCTCTCCACTGGCTGTTGCATGTTTTAAGCACATCTTTTTTACGGTTGTCGTTTGGAATATTCCAATGTTTCTGTTTTTGTTATAGAATAAGGATACTAAGTATTAGTAACACATCTTGATTAGATGAAAGTACATGTAATGGGTCTTATGTAGATAACAAACCTTAATTGCCGACCATAGCATATCTTTTTGAGCAATTGGCACTTTCTTCCAACTCGTATATTCAACAGAAATCATCGACCTCGTAATAACACCACACTCGTTAGCAAACTTACTTTGTTTCTTCCCAACATGCTGACCAATATTGTTGAAATCAACTTCTTGTGGCTCTTTATGGTCGACTAGTCTTGTGGCTGTTCTTTTTTTCCTCATTTGTGGTTGTGGCTGTGGTTGTAGTTCTGGTTCTGGTTCTTGTTGTGGCTGTGGTTGTGGTTCTACTTCTTGTTGTGGCTGATCATTCATCATGTTTATTCTGGAGGAAATATATACAAAATAATATGAGACATCATAAATGTTACACTTCATGTGTTGTTACAGTAGCTGCTTTTTAAACAAGTGTCAAAATTTCAATTGTTCACATGGTGCTCCATAATGCAGTCTTTGAATTAGTTAGCAAATAAATCATATAAAGTTTAGAGTACAAACAATGTGTTCATCTATATAAGCTGAAATAGCATGTATAAAATCACTTGTCACCTAATACAAATTCATAATCACAAGATGTATGCATTTTACTTGTATTTCAATTCATACATATAACATATTTTGATTTTTATTTCTTAGCATCAAAAAAACAATTCACCCAAACTATGGATTCATTAAAATAAATATAAAATTCTATTAATACCTAAGAGATATAAAGGCCCCTACTAGGTTTCAGTTCCAATTTCAAGTGACTTGAACTTAATAAAATGTTGCCTGATGTTTCCTGTTGACTTGGGTTGCTGCACAGGATTGGAGTGGGTTTAGCATTTTGTTTGGTTTCTGTGGGTTGTAAGCTAGAAAACACTCAAATATTGTTATTCGTGATCAAAGAGACCCAATTTGTTGCGATCTAGTCATATAGGCATAACATCAAACACGGAAGGTATAATAAAATAACCCTTAACATTTACCATTTTCCAGCAATAACAATTGCCCACATGACTTGAAACTTATCAACAATTGCAAATGAGATTGATTATGAAAAAATGAAACAGCAATACGAGGTTAAGATTGAGAATAGAAGTGGGATAGAAAGCACCAACAAATAATCAACGGTAATCAAAAAACGCATAAATTAAACCAAACAAAAAAAGGATCGGACATTCCTGTCACGTAAATGGATTCCATAACTTCATATAAAGAACGAGTTTTAGTCGAAATTATACCTCGATAGCGTAGCCTGGCTCTAGTGAATATAGCAGCGATAAAACTTCGATTTCAAGTTGCTTTAGAGAGTATGTGTGTTCGGTTGTTGTTTTCCAAAGTTCTATCAGATAGTATCTTCAAAATCGTGTACAGGGTCAAAGAGCGGGATAATGAAAATTGATGGCGGGATAATGAAAATTGATGGCGGTATTGTTTTATTTGGAAAACAAAGGGCAGAGCGTAGATATAAATGGTAAAATGGCAAATATATATCAAAGTTTGATTTTGTTTCGAATAATAAGATCATTAATTCTTATTAAATCTTAACACCCGTATGGCCATATAAAATTTGAAAATTACCAAAAGAAAGTATATAAAGTTGGGAATCTTCAAAATAAGAAGTGTAATATTATATACATGTTTTTTAAGTTTTGTAGACCAAAATAATATTTAAATATTTAATTTTATGTTAACATCTTACATAATTATATTATAAATAACTGTTTATTTAATTTAAACATGAAACTATTTTATTAAAAAAATCGTATAAATATAAGAGTTGACAAAACAATATTGCATCGAAATCCTATTATACTAAAACTATTGACAAAGCAAAGTAATGTGTTCAAAGTCAAAAATGAATCTGGAATATTGAAATACATTAAATAAAATCTAAACAAACTGACTAGCTAGTTCGGAAGACTGTGTGACGCGTCTTCGTTATTTTATATTGTAATGTATTTTGTTGTTGTCTTGTCTTGCAAACAAAACAAAATATGTTAATACAATGGGTGTACTAGATTACTACAAATTTATAATCATATTTGTGTGTTTTGTATCAAATAATTGGTTTATTACCTTTCAAAGTACATGGTTTTATGACATCCATAATCCTTCATTGTGATCCAACCTTAAGTAAGTAGTGTCATCAACACCATCATTTGAAGATGGAATGTCGATAGAAAATGGGGGTAGCTCGTCAAATTGATCGTACTCTTCCCCATCCACAACACTATCATCACCAAGTATATGTCATTTGTCATGCATCGCGATGTGCTTTCTCAAGTCCTTTGGGTCCTCAACATAGATAATATGGCTAGGTTTTTTAGTTATAATGAATGGTTCCAATACATAGTCATTTATGGAAAGGTCAAGAATTGTAAACCCATCATTGTCAACTTTAACACCTCGTTGGTTGTCAACACCTTTGCACTTTAGCACAGGCATAATGATGGTATCAAATTTCAATTCCTATATGTAACGTCTGGATCCTGGTACGTATTTAAAACCCTAAGTTATTCATTTTCATAGGGCAACTCGATGATTTGGTAGCCCCAAACTTTTCGAGTAGAGATTGCTTGGGTCACAGGTTTTGAGGAACCTACTCGACGAGTTGGTAGCCTGAACTCGACGAGTAGGCTGGCAGATGAGAAACCCTAATCTTAGGGTTTTGCGCCCTATTTTAACATCTTAAACCTTTCATGTTGGCCACTTTCCAACCCCCAAGTCCCAAACCCTAAATCTAGAAACCCTAATGCAATTGCTCAAGTTGTGTGCCATTTTTGAAGGAGATTTTGTGTGCTTGGAGCTTGTGGGAGAAAGAGGATCATGGAGGAGCAAGAGGAAGTTTGTAGATCCAAAATCCTAGCTTCATCCTCGACATATTGCTGGTATAAAGTCTGAATCTTTCCTTGTAGTTATTGAGATCTTCTTTTGGGACTATTTTGTTTAGTTTGGATCCAAGTTTCATGTTCCTTGGGAGTTGGACATCCCAAAGGAGTTTATACTTCAGATCTGAGGTCTATAAGGGTTTTCATGTCATAAAGGTGCCAACTTTATGGCCATAAAGGTCTCATGCAGCCCTTTGACCTCCATTTCGATTTTTTGGAGTTTCTAATGATCATGCATGAAGAGAAAGTCGGGACTTTATGTGCTCATGTAGTCCCTAGGGTTCAGATTTGTGATATCATAGCCTATTTTGCAGTTTTGGTTGTCCTTGGACCAAGACTTTGGTCTATTTAGGGTTAGGTTTGAGCTCAACCTCCTTAGGAAGAGTATTAACGAGTAAAGTTGGAGACTTTACCCTCTTAGGGTCATTTCCAGTTCAGATTTGGAGTATAGGGATTAGTCTTGAAGAACTAGGGCTTAATGCATCAAGAAGTGTTAAAATAACACGACGAGTTTATAGAGGAACTCGACGAGTTGATTCATAATGGCCCGATTTTGTGACAAGGACGAACTCGACGATTTCAAGGAGGGACTCGAGGAGTTGGTTCAAAAAGTCCCGATTCTATTGAACAGGAAGAACTTAGTGAGTTTGGGGATAACTCGATGTAACAACGTAAATTTTCGAAACAAAAATTTCAATTTAAAACTCATTTAATTAAAGCCAAAAATCATCAAGCATCATAGTATCAAATCATCACATCACATATCCATGAACTATAAGTATCAAACACCAAGATCCTCTCAGAACATAACTCGAAGCAAGGTACCACATTCAAAGTCAAACTGAACCTAAAATATTGAAGTACATTAAATAAAATCTAAACAAACTTAGTTTGGAAATTTTGTTACGCATATTTGGTATTTGATATTGTAATGTATTCTGTCGTGATTTTTTCCTGCAAATAAAAGAAAATATGTTAATACAATGGTTGTACTAGATTACTACAAATTTATAATCATATTTGTTTATTTTGTATCAAATAATTCGTTTATTACCTTTCAAAGTACATGGTTTTATGACACTCATAATCCTTCATTGTGATCTGACCTTAAGTAAGTAGTGTCGTCAACCTCATCATTTGAAGATGGAATGCCGATAGAAAATGGGGGTAGCTCGTCAAACTGATCGTACTCTTCCTCGTCCACAACATCATCAACACCAAGTATATGCCGTTTTCTATGCATGACGATGTGCTTTTTAGAGTCTTTTGGGTCCTCAACATAGAATATCTGGCTAGCTTGTTTAGTTAGAATGAATGGTTCTGATACATACCCATTTGTGGAAAGGTCAACAATTGTAAACCCATCATTGTCAACTTTAACACCTCGTTGGTTGTCAACCCATTTGCACTTGAGCATAGGTATAATGATGGTTTCATATTTTATTCCCATATTTCTTGAATGACACCATAATATGACTCTTTAGCTATCCTTGACCTTGCATCGTGATTATCTCCATATAATTCTGTTGATGCTATTAACGTTACTCCACTATTTTGAAGCGTACTTTTTTTATCTTGTTGATTAGTGTAGAATGTATAACCATTAATGTCGTACCCTTGGTACGTTGCCACGACATGTTCGGGACCATTTGCTAGATGTACCACAGCTTGATCAACATTGTTCACGCCATAACTTGCTTTCACTTTGTCTTTTAACCATTGTGAGAATGTTTTGTTATGTTCTGTAATCAACCATCTTTTGCTCTTACCACTATTCGACATTTCTATATATCTTTTGTGCTCGTTCACGTATCGAGCAATGATCGTCATATGTTGTAGGACTGTAAAATGTGCCAGATGCAAGTCTTCTTTCTTTGGAGTTACCCGTTTCAATCCAATTGTCCCATATCCTACAAGTCTTCCCTCGTGTCGAGATTTCGGTATGCCAATACTTGTAACACCTTGTAAATAGTCCGTACAATATTCAATTACCTCCTCTGTAGCGTATCCTTCAACAATACTACCCTCTGGTCGATATTTATTCCTTACATACCTTTTTAAGACACCCATATATCTCTCAAATGGATACATGTATCGTAGGTATACCGGCCCACAATACTTTATCTCTCTAACAATATGAGATATTAGATGAACCATGATATCAAAAAATGAAGGTGGGAAATACATCTCAAGCTGGCATAACGTCAAGATGATATCACTTTGCCATGAATCTAACACTTCAGGATCAATAACTTTTGAATGAATCATGTTGAAAAACAAACATAACTTTGTGATTGTGTGTCGAAGGCGATCTGTTAATATTCCACGAATTGCAATAGGAATCATGTGGGC